CTTTCCCTAAATGCACCTTCTGGATATACTGTTTTGTAATCTGCTTTTTTCTTACTGCACCACATAATAACCTTTCCGTCAGTGATGGGCCACATATATCATGGTAGTTTCATATGATTGTATCATATTGCCTAAGCATGTATAGTTCATCATCCAGGTTTGTGTGAGTACACCCCACAATGTTCACACAGTGACGAAATCACCTAACGACGCATTTCTTAGAAATTCCCCGTAGATCTCATGCATTAAGTGACACATGATTATATATATTTACATGATTATTTTAGATAGTTGTATACCATTGCATTGTCTGAAAAGTCATGCTGTACTTATTGCAATGCAATGGATAATTTAAGTTGATAATTTTTAGTAATTTAATCATAGTATAATAATTTTCTGTATCCATTTTGAATAATTGTATTATCTTTTTTTTCTTATTTTGGAAAAGTTATTGTTATAGGGTGTGTGCGCTTGACAAAAAGACAGAGTGAGACAGAGAGACAGAAACTGAGAAATCACCCCCCAGGGGGGATGGCCACACCACAATCCCTTCTCCTCCATTCTCCTCTTGGGATCTTGGGCACACACGTACACATGCCCAGAGTGAGTTTAAGCTACTGGGACTGGGACTCGAACCACAGTTGACTAAGTGGGAATTCAGCAATGTAGCCATTACGCCATTACGCCATCTGCTGGTCCACTTGTATTATCTTTTAATGTGATCTTAAAAATTGAATTTGTGGCTCAAAAGTTGTCTACCTATTAACTGGCTATGAAAATACCTTTTGCTAATCAAATTTCGGTGTTATCGAATTTTAATATTTTCCAGTACAATAAAATTAATATCTTCCTGTATTTTAATTTCTATTTCTTGTTAGAAATTGAACTTCTTTTTTTAAAAATGTGTATCTATTTGTATTTTTTCAGAGATTAATTTTCGATGGTATATCCTCTGCTTATTTATGTAGGATGTGTATATTGATGAAATGAGCATGATTTTATTTCTTGCATTAATTAACAGATTACACCTTTTCTTTTTTTTTTTTAAGTTTATTTCTTTCATGAGAGAAAAATATAAGCACCTTCAATAGGGTCTTAACACTACGATTCTCTCCTCAGCCTTTCCCAGCCAAGTAGGATAGTGGACATGTATGCACATGCCCAGCATGTACAAGTTGACCTGGGAACTCAACTACAATCTTCCAGATGGCTTCCAGCATTGTAGTTTTACTACAATGTATACAGTGTTGTACTAACACTGCACCACTGTGGATGAACCTGCTTTCTACTTAAAAAAGATGTTATTATTTCTATTGGACTCAGTTTTTCACTTAGCTAGCTATTCTCAAGTATTAGGTAACTAGTAAAGAAAATGAAGCTTGTTAGATTAATTTCTTTTTCTAAAATACAAATGAAGAAGATAAAAGTACTTAATCTGTATTGGCATAACAAGGTACCGAATCTGGCTTAATTGTTCCTTCTTTGCTCATGTCTGAGCAAAGATAAGTGTTCTACAAGATAAGTGTCTGTCTGTATAAGTAAATATCCTGTCTGTACCTATATTTTTACATGTTCTTCATTTTCATTATTGAAATGAAAAGGAATGGAAATTTTGATTCAAATACTCATGTTAATGAACTGTGATTTTTAAAATCATATGATAAAATGCTTTGGGAATAATTTTTCTGTAAGATAAAGATGTTTTCACTTTTATTCCTTTTAGGAGAAAAACAACAGTGAAGACATTATGTATTTATGCAGACTACAAATCTGATGAAAGCTATACTCCAAGCAAGATCTCAGTCAGAGTAGGGAATAACTTCCACAACCTTCAGGAAATTAGGGTATGTCTTTCAATTGTTTAAAAATACAATATCCTTTAACTCTTGATCTTTGGGATGGTCACAGTAACTTTAGAGTAGACAAATTAAAATGTTAGTATACAGGGGCCAGCAGATGTCATAATGGTTACATCACTGGACTCCCCACGTAGTGGACTGTGGTTCAAATCCTTCACCTGGTGGCTTAAAACTCAAGCTGGGTGCCTGTGCGTGTGTGCCCCAAGTCCCGAGAGGAGAATAGAGGAGGGATTGTGATGTGGCTGTCCTCTCTGAAGGGTGATTTCTTGCTTTATGTTTCTCTCTTCCTGGCTAGAGCACACACCGTATAGCCAAAATAAAAGGTAAAAATACAAAAGGAAAATTGTAATATTGAAGAAAACATGTTTCTATATAGTATTTAACATTTTTCCTTTGACTTATGATTGTCATCTTTATTTTTTTCTTTCCAAAATTTTATGGAAATTTTCAGACATACAGAAAAGCTGAAAGAATTGTACAGTGAATCCCAATAGAATCATCTCCTAGTTTCTTCAATTGCTAATAATTTGCTATATTTGTTTTACTAAAATTTGTCTTTATTTTATGCATTTCAAAATAAGTTGCAGGTATCTGTACATTTCACCTCAAATATTTTACATATTAGTAGAGTTATTAATATTTGCTTATTTATTTTAAAGATAAAGTTTATGCACAGTTTTATATAAATCTTAAGTATATTGGTGAGTTTTGACAAATGCAAACATATGTGTAACCCCAGTGCCTGTTAAGAGACAGAACATTTTCATCACCTCAAAAAGTTTCCTCATATAACTTCCCAGTTAGTCTCTATCACCACCCTATCTTCAGATGTAAGTATTATTTTGATTTGATTTGTTTATTTATTTGTTTCCAAAGATCTAGATCTCTCTAGAAAGTTGTATAAATATAATAATCTAGGATGTAACTTTTATGTAAGGCTCCTTCATTCATCCATGTTGTTGCTTGTATCAGTACTTCATTTTTATTTATTCCTGAGTTGTATCCTGTTGTTTGAATATACCACAATGTATTTACCCTGGGCATAACTCTTTGAAGCCATTAGAACCATGCTTTTAGGACTTGAATTTTTGCTAGTCCCCAACATTTCAGAGGTATTTTCAATGACTTTGAATTATGTACTTACGAAGCTCTGGCTCTTAGCATTTTTTATTAGGAAATCATTGAACCCAAATAATCATCATAATCTGGAAGTTCTAAAATCTGGGAAGCACTTGTGATCTTTGAAGACCTTCAGTTACTTTATGACCTGGACTCTTACTTGATTTAATATTTCTATTAAGATCATATCTGTCTATATATAATGATTATCATAGTTACTAATAAAATAATAAAAATCACATCTTTTTTTCCTCAGTAAATGCATCCTTATTCTCTTGTGAAATGTATTATATATTGACAAAACAAGAATAAGAAGGATATTGTCCATAGGCATTTTTCTTCAGTACCTTTAGATGTTCACTGCTTTTTAAGTTTTTTTAAATAGACAAATAAAAATTTAATGTATATATTTTGTTCAGCCTGATGTCTTGAAATAGGTACACAGTGTAGAATGGTTAAATTGAGCTAATTAACATATGCATTACCTAACATACTTATTACCTTTTGTGGTGAGAACACACGAATTTCATCCTCATAGCAATCTTCAAGAATGTAATACATTATTAATAATATAGTTATTGAACAACAAATCTACTGAACTTAATCCTTTCAGACTAAAATTTTTTTATCTTTTTTTTTGAGAGGTTTTTGCTATAAGGTGCGTGCACTCTCCAGAGAGACAGAGAGAGACAGGAAGCAAGAAATCATCCCTCAGGGGGGATGGCCACGCCGCTATCCCTTCTCCTCCATTCTCCTCTTGGGATCTTGGGCATGCATGCACACACGCCTGGCATGAGTTTAAGCCACCGGGTCTAAGACTCGAACCACGGTCGACTACATGGGAGTCCAGCAACATAGCCATTACACTAACTGCTGGTCCCAAATGTACTACTTTCTTTTTTATTCATTCATCCATTAATGGACACAGGTTGATTCTATATCTTGACTACTGTCAATAATGCTATAGTGAATAAGGTGCTTCTCTTTCAAAGTTTTTGAGGAATTACCTCAGTGTTTTCCATAATAGCTCCATTAATGTATATTCTCACTAACAGTGCACAAGGATTCCCTTTTCCTCTACATCTTTACCAATACTATCTTTCAAATTTTTGATAATATTCATTCTAATTCTATTCAGAAATGTTCTATTCTATTCATTCTAACTTCTTTTCAGAAATGTCTCTTTAGGTCCTTTGCCCATTTCTGAATCAATTTGTTTTCTTATTCTTGAGTTAAGTTCCTTATATATTTTGAATATTAACCCCTTATCAGATGTATGGTTTGCACATTGTTTTTTTCAAGTTATTTTGGTTGTTTCTTCTTTCTGTTGATTGTTTCCTTTGCTGTGCTAAAGCTTTTTAGTTTGATGTAATCCCTTTTGTGTGAATCTGCCTTTATTGCCTGTACTTTTGGAGTCACAACCAAAATAAAAACATTGTGCAGACCAATATCAAGAAGCTAGACTGGCCCCTTAGTGCCACTGTTAGGAACTATGCAGAGGAAGCCAGATACCAAATGTCTGCCCAGGGTTCGAGTCACCACCATGTCAACTTGAAAACTGCTGGGCTTGCTTGCATATGCCCATATGATCCTGACAGGATGGAGAATTGGAGGAAAAAGAGTTGTAATGTGACCAGGTCCCATTAAGGGAGTCTCTTGTCCGTGGACATATTCCTTCATTCCAGTGAGCGTATGTGCTCCATGGCAGAATCCTCTATTAAAAAAAAAAAAAAAAAAAAGCCTTCTCTCTTTGTTTTTGTTTTTTTTTTGATGTCTTTTGTCGTCATTGTTTTTGTTTTGTCTTGTTTTGTTGTGTGTGTGTTGTGTGTGTGTGTGTTTAATTTTGCTGGAGGCCATGTACATTCACCAGAAAGAAACAGAAGTCTTATAAAGCATCTGCTGTGGGACATGGTCATGCTACAATTCCTTCCCCTCCATCTCTCTCTCCCTTCAGGATTTTGGGTATGCCTGCACACATGTCCAGTGTGTTTTTCAAGCTGCTGGATTCGGGATGCAAAACCACAGAGTCAGTCTTGTGAGATCTAGCCGTTTGTAACCACCTTGCCACAAGCTGGCTTTGTTGTTTGTAGGTCTGTTTTTGTTTTTGTTTTGTTTGTTCGTTTATTGCCACAAGTTGCATGCACTCACCTGAGACAGAGAGCAAGCACCCCCGGTGAGGCATGGACAACCCACAGTCTTTTTACCTCAGTTTCTCCATCCTGTCAGGATCTGGGGTGTGCACACACTCATAGCTGGCATATTTTTTAACTATTGGGGCCAGATTCAAACTGTAGTCTGCCACATGAGATCTGGCTTTCTATGCACAGTCTTATCTGTTACACTATTGGGCTGGCCCTCTCTTCTTTCTTAGTCTAACTAAAATTTTGTCAATTTTGTTTATCCTTAAAACCAAATAAATGAATGAAAAGTGTCTTGGGGCCAGCAGGTGGCATAATGATCCAGGCATTGGACTCCCATGTGGTTGACCACAGTTTGATTCTCAGACCCGGTGGCTTAAACTCATGCCTGGTGTGTGTACATGTGTGCCAAAATCCCAAGAGAGGAATGGAGGAGAAGGGATTGTGGTGTGGTCTTCCCCCTTGGCCCCCCCACTCCCACCCCCACCCCCGCTGTAGGAAGTAATTTCTTGCTTTCTATCTCTCTGCCTCTGTCTCTCCAGTGAGCGCATGCACCCTATAGCAAAATTCTCTCTCAAAAAAAACAAAACAAAACAAATCTCTTAGTTTTGTTGTCTTTGTTGTTTTTCTAGTTTCTATTTTATTGATTTATGCACTGCTATTTGTTATTTCCTTCTCTCTTCTAACTTTGGCCCATTTCCTTCTTTTTCTAGTTCCTTGAGATACAATATTAGGTTATTTATTTGATGTCAAGGTGCATGGGCTTTCCAGAGAGAGACAGAGAGACAAAAAGCATTCAAGAATAGGGTGCAGATGCTCTGCAATCCCTTCTCCTCCTTTTCTCCATCTTATCAGGATTTGAGGCATGCACACAGGCCTCTGGAGTCGGGATTCAAACTATGCAGTCAGTGAGATCCTGCTTCCTTGACCTCTAGGCTATACGGTCAGCCTGAATTTTTTTTTTTTAATGTAAGTGTTTATTGTTACTAACTTTCTTCTTAGTAGTGCTTTGGCTGTATCCCATGCATTTTGGTATATTGTGTTTTCAATTTTGCTTGTCTCAAGATATTTTCAGATTTTCATTTTTTGTTTCTTTTAGTTTTTCACCATGGGGCATGTATGCTCACTGAAGAGACAGAGAGAGGGAAAGTGAGAAATCATGCCTCAAGGGAGATGGCCATGCTGCAAGCCCTTCTCTACCATTTTCCTCTTGAGATTGTGAGCACTCATGCCTGGCATGATTTTCAGGTCACTGAGTCCGGGACTCAAACTGCAGTTGGCCAGGGAGTCCAGCACCTTAGCTACCATGCCACCAACTGGCCCTCAAATTTTCCTTTTCATTTATTTTTGACCCAGTGATCAGGAATAGTTATTTAATTACCGTTTATTTGTGAATTTTCTGAAATTCTTCCTATTACTGATTTCTAGTTGAGGTTGAGAAGATATTATTTCAATCTTAAATTTTTTTTTTTTAGAGAGATTTTTTGCTAGAGGGCGTGTACACTCACCAGAGAGACAGAGAGAAACAGGGAGAGAGAGGGAGACAGCAAGTGAGAAATCACTCTCCCGGGGAGAGAGGTCACACCATAGTCCCTTTTCTTCCATTCTCCTCTCAGGATCTTGGGCATCCACACACGTGCATCTGGTATGAGTTTTAAGCCTCCAAATCTGGGACTTGAACCATGGTCTACTACAGGTGACTACAGCAATGTAACCTTAGGCCATCTG